TGATGGACTGGATTGAGCTCAGTGTTGCTGCCGCCTGCCTCGCAAACACAAAGTCCTGAGTTTGATCCCTGGTACAAACAAAGACACCTTTTTATCAACAATCCTCAATACAGAAGTAAATTTTATCTGTATGTATCCTGAAGCAGTTTTCTAACCGGGTATCTTGAAATTTCAAACAGGTTGTAAGAAGATATATTCTGGGTTCCATTGTTGAAAGTGAAAAAAACTACGTAGATGCTCTTAAGAGGATTTTGGAGGTACCTAAGTGTCATGTTATATGGTATCTACATGTTTAATATTGTTTTTATACATACATAATTTTGTTATAGGTTTTACATGTACATTTATTTATGAACATAAAATATGCAAATTTGAAAACTCTTGAATTTTGGCTGTGTATTGAATGAAAAGCCGTGTGATTTGTTTTGAAGTAAATTTCAAGTACACGAATGGATCCTTACATGTTGTTCTACCTCCCTTTAACATGTCTGGCCCAGCAATATGAGAGGCCCCTGTCTGAGATGGAGCCACGGTTCCTGAGCGAGAGGAAGCTGAAGATGGTGTTCTACCGCATCAAGGAGATCTTGCAGTGCCACTCCATGTTCCAGATTGCGCTGGCCAGTCGTGTGGCCGAGTGGGACTCTGTGGAGACCATTGGCGATGTCTTTGTGGCTTCGGTACTGTGGCTGGCCCTCCCAGTGGTCCCCGGCTCTGTGTGCCTGCCATCTTTCCCCCTGAGCTGATGTTTAATGCTGCGTGGCCTCCACTGGGCCCGGGGCTGCTTCCCCAGGGCACCAGCGAGTCCTCGAGGGGCTGACCAGGCCACTTTGAGGAAGGTCGAGGGAAACACGCAGGGGCGAGGCCAAAGATGTGTCAGGAAAGATCTGTAGGATCACACTTTGTCAGGTCTTAGAAGCGACATTAGACAACCTGGTAGTGCTTTCCTTGGTAAACAAAGGCTCTGCTTGTGAAATTGTCATATCAGCCCCTTGAGCTGGGCCCTGCTTTCTGAATGCAGAGTCCTCCGTGCACAGGAACAATAGAAAAGGGTGGGAAGTACACAGATGTTTCCCTCCTTGTTGTGTGGCCCCAGCTTGGGCCCTGCAGGGCACACAGGAATCCAGTGTTGGGGCAGCTTGCCTTAGCGCTTCCCAAGTTTCTGTGCCAGCAGTTCTGAGCTGTTTTATCTCTGCTTCATTCTACGCTCTCCATGTTGCATCGGGTGAGATTCTGCCTAGGTGTAGAAGGTCGTGGCTAACAACCTCTAGTTGTTTCGGATAATGCCATTGAGGGGTATAAGCTTGGATTTTTAAAAAAGAATTCATGTACTTAAATGAATGCTCTGATAATGAAAAAAGTGCAACCTTTATTCTATGTAATTTTTGTGCTTAATGAAGAATCTAAATTTTCAGGCTGCTTTGAAGCTAATGAGGAGACAAGGTTCTTTACCCCTATGATACTGTGTAATACTCTTCATGGATCCTTGTAACGAAAAAAAAGAAATATTGGTTATTTATTTGCTTTTTACTTTTCCTGCCTATGCCACGTATTAGCTTCACAGTTAGCTTGGAAACTTTACTTTTGTGCATGTGTGGTCCTGGCAATGGAGCGCAGGGCCTATGCACTGACTGAGCTGTACCTTTTTATTTTTATTGTGAGACAGGGTCTTATCAAGTACCCCAAGCTGGTCTTAAACTTCCAGTCCTCCAGCCTCAGGCTAACAGAGTGCTGGGATTACAGGGATGTGCTGTCTTACCTGGCTAGAAACATGTTTTAGAATGAAAAAAAAAATCTTTTTTTTTAAAGCAAGATTAGGTGAAAGCATGAGTCATCAGTGGCAGCCACACTGAACTGGCTGAACCACAGATCCCCAGCAAGCTTGTGGAAGGCAGAAGTCCCCCGCAGTCGCAGGGCCCACCCCAGGAGAAGGCATGAGAGAGAGAGATCCGGGCAGGGCAAGTTTCCTCAGAGCGAGGATCCTCAGAGTGAGGCTGAGGGTGCTGGGATTCTGGGTCACTTCCTCCTCTTGTCTTATGTTCAGTTTTCTAAGTCCATGGTGCTGGATGCGTACAGCGAGTATGTGAACAACTTCAGCACTGCTGTGGCCGTCCTCAAGAAAACGTGTGCCACAAAACCCGCTTTTCTCGAGTTCTTAAAGGTAATTTCAGCTTCTGGTTGCTTTTAACACACTCTTGTAGTGAGTTCCAGGTCCCAGCACCTCATTGCGAGGCCATGCCAAGCTGTGCCTCTAGCAACGGCGATGTTCTTCAGAACAATCTCAGTGCGATGACCAGAGCCAGCGTGTTGGTGTCTGCTGGGAATGCAGATGAATTTTAAGCCCAAATGAAGCTTTTTGAGAGTGACTTTTCTTTGCCCATCCTTAAAAGTGTATAGAAAGGTAGATGGGCAGAGAGAATGAAAGGATCCGCTCCCAGAGTGGCCTGGGACCTGCCTGTCCTGGCACCGTATCCGGAGTAACAGAAACCCAGGATCTAGGCTCGGATGGAAAGTGGCCTCCTTGGTCAGAGCAGCAAGCAGAGAGAGGCCTGGAGAGCCGACCCTGGGCCCTGGGCCCTGGGCCCTGGAGCCCCGGGATGAGCCTTGGTCCTCTGGGAGTTGCAGAGAGAGCCAGAGGCCACATGGTGTGGCAGCGGCAGCCTGGGAGGCATAGGAGGAGCTGCTGCCTGGGCCAGATTAACCCCCTGGGGGACCGGCTGCCTGGCTCTGAGTCCATTTGCATTGTGAAGGCCAGGAATGGAGCATGTTCTCTGGCCGGGCTGTGTTCTTAGAAACCTCTGCTGCCCGAGGTGGGGATGGCAGGGCTGGTTACTCCCAGCAGCAGTGTTGTATTTTGGCCAGGATACTTCCCCTCCCTTTCTTGTTAACACAGTGGTCCCTGACGCTTCTAGCCCACTGAAGCTCCTCAGTGAACAAATCCCACCCAGCCTGGGGAGAAATGGTCCTCTGTCCTCCAGCCATCCCCAGAAAGCACAAGCCAGTGGTGGATTTGCTTCCTTGGAGGATGTGTTAGGGCCTTGCTGAGGTGTCAGCCACGGCATGGTGTACGTGCCCTGCTGTCACTGCGCTGTGCCACCAGGCTCAGGACCACCCTACAGTCCCTGGGAGCCAGGGTGATGTCTGAGTCTCGGAGAGCAGCGGGAGCGGTGGGGGGTCAGGTACCTGGACACAGGGCCCCTCAGTGGGGCAGGGCTGACACCAGAGGAAGCGATTCCTCTGCATGAGCTGAGGACGGGGTTCCAGGCAGTGGGCAGCAGCTCAGGCTGTGCCTGCCGCAGCGAGTAAGCCTCTCTCCCACAGCAGAGCCAGGAGGCCAGTCCCGACCGCGTCACGCTCTACAGCCTGATGATGAAGCCCATCCAGCGGTTCCCACAGTTCATCCTCCTGCTCCAGGTGAGGTCTGCGGCTGTCCCCTGGGAGAGCACAGGCCTCATCCTGAGGCTGACCCTGTCCAGTGCCCTTGGTGCCTTCATGGAATGGCAGGACATGGTAATGGGCCAGTGTGTGGCCCAGAATCACATGGGGAAACATCCAGTGCCTTTGTGCCCATAGTTGGGCAGGTGTGGAAAGCCAGGAGCAGATTCACCAACGGTGCCACTTGTGCAGTCTCTCCCTGGACACTTATGGTACAGCCAGCACAGCAGAGCAGGCTGCTGTGTACCGAGTGTCAGCTTTGAAGTTCACGTGGTGCCAGTCCCTTCCGGCCCGGTGTCACCCTGCCCATTGGCCTCCCATGATGCCTCTCACTTTCCTGGTCTTCAGATGTGGTTTTATGAATATGTATTTTTAGAGCACTTTCAGGCTCACAGCAAGATGAGGAGGGCAGAGTGCCCTTGCCCCACAGTCCCCGCACAGCTGCCCCTGCCCATGTCATCGAGGGTGGTGTGTTTGTCACATGGCGTCCTGCACTCCTATGGCATCATCTGGAGCACATGGCTTCTATGGGGCTTGCTTGGTGCTGGATCTTGGCACCTGCTCCGCAGGACACCTAGGGACCTTTCAGGTAGGCTCCAGGCCCCTGTGAATGGCTCACAGTAGGGGGGGTGTCTTGGTTCCCGGGGCACAGACCACACCACACCACATTTGCACTTGTGTTTAGTGTGCAAAGTAATGGACCCCAAGGGCAGCTCCTCAGCTGCTGAGGTCTGCCGTGAGGTGGCCACGGTGCATCCCTCCCCGGACTCCCTGCTGAGCCAGGTCCCCGCTGTGTCCACCACACCTGCAGCCGTGCACTGAGGGCTGGGCACAGTCCTTCCGCTCTCCAGTCCTCCCACAGGTCCCCGGTTCCTAGGGTAGCATCCAGCCTGTGGATCCCTCCCCAGAGCTTTCCTGCTTGCTCTGCCAGACCCAGCAGAGTGACCAGTGTGTGCCAGCTGCAGCTTTACCAGGAGCGTGGCTTGAGAAGTCAGAGTGGGTGTCGGAGCCGCTCTCTGGCGTGGGCTCTGAGGGCCATGGAGCCTTGTCGCGCACACGGGATTTAGGAAGGGCCCTCTGGGAGTCGGTCTCTGAGGGCCTGAAGTGTTGGTAAACCACATTGGAAATAAGTTGTTGTCGTCTAGACCGTGCAGCTCTGTTTACAGAGCACAGGTAGAGCAGACGCTGCAGGACTCAGGAACATTGGGGTGTTCAGACGGTCAATGAGTGTGGCTTCAGCCTAAAGCTGCAGCTGCGCACAGGAAAGCCAGTCTGGCTTTGAAGCTCTGAAGCCAGGCCTTGACTCCGCGCTGCTGCAGATGTCCAGCTGGCCTCTCCCCCAGAGCGGCAACTGTTTTGGCTCCACTGTAAGCCCCCCATTTGCCATCAGGTCCACTGGTACCTCTGCAGACCCGGCTGCTGTGTCCCTGTCACACCTGGGCTCCAGTCGCACTTGGATGCTTCAGGGCAGCGTCTTCTAAATGGCAGGAGCCACCTCTGCCCTGCAGGCTTCCTATCTGTGGCCTCCTTGCCTCTCAGCTGTGGTGGAGTGAGGCGTGAGGCCCTGAGTGGCTCAGATGGGGAGCTGGGCTGTGGTGGTCTCCACACCGTGCAGCCATGTGCTTTCTGTAGCTCCGTTTTCCGCAGGACAGCACTGTTCCTCCCCCAGGGACCTCCTCTGCACCCCTCCTGGCTGGCTGCTGGGGGAGGCTCCCACCTCAGCCGTCCTGCCTCTCCACGCACCACCTCTAGTTCTCAGTTTTAAGTGAGGGTCTCGCTTGTCCTGTGACAGGGCTCTTGACTGGCCCGACTCACTCTCGTGTGTTGGGGCAGGAGAGAGATAGGGTTGCTGGTCCATCGTGAGCAGCGCTTGTTGAGTTCAGGTCATATCAGATGCAGCTCATGGGGCCCCAGAGCAGTTAGAACAGAAACACCAAAGATTGCCCACCACAGTCCCCCCAGTAGCCAAGTCCTAAGAAAGGGTATGCGGTATTGTGAGAGTTACTGAAGTGCGCCCTGGCTTGTGCCTCTGGGAAGGACGGATGCACTTGTGGACCCGGGGCTGCCACAGCCTCCATCTGTGAAGAGTGCAGTGTCCGTGGGGGCAGAGCAGGGAAGATCCCCTGGGAAGTCAGGGTCCTTTCTGGGGGTGACGCAGCACAGAGCCCTGCTGGGCCCAGAGGGTGTACGCTGCCCGTGAGCCCTGCTGGGACACTGGTGTCTGCAGATGAAGCTCCATGTGTGGCTCCTTGATCTGGTTCTGACTGGACCTGTGGCACCGTGGCCTGCTCACGTGGCACTGTGGTGGGCACTGCATTGCCGTCTGCAGTGCCACTTGGTGGAGGAGCTTGCTCCACAGGGGCTGCTGGGTACTCAGCCCAGGTGGCTTGGCCTTTGCCGCCCTTGTGCTGACTCGTTTCTGCAGCAGCTGATGCTGGCCACCTGCCAGCCGTCCAAGTGGTCAGCACCCTGTTCTGCCTCTTGCTCCCAGGACATGCTGAAGAACACCCCCCAAGGACACCCTGACAGGCTGCCGCTTCAGATGGCTCTGACAGAGCTCGAAATCTTGGCAGAGAAGTTAAACGAAAGGAAAAGAGATGCCGATCAGCGCTGTGAAATCAAACACATTGCGAAAGCCATCAACGAAAGATATCTGAACAAGGTGGAGAGAGGCTTTCCTAACACTCGCTGGAGTCTCTGCTTCCTACTAATAAGCCAGTGTTGTTTGAGCCACTGCTCCCTGACCACTTAGTGTGCCCTTGCCCCAAGGCTCTAACAAGGCTGCAAGGCACTTTGGGCAGTGGGTAGAATCGGAGGGCTGTGTGGGACCTCAGCAGTCAGGCTGTGCGGTCCTTAGACTCCTTGGAGATTAAGAAAAACTCTTGTTCAAGTACTAGGGGTCGAATCCAGGACCTTTGCATTGAACTACATCCCCAGCCCTTTTTATTTTTATTTGTTTTATTTTGAGATAGTCTTTCAAAGTTGCCCAGGCTGGACTTAAACTTTCAGTCCTCCTGTCTCAGCTTCCCAGAGTGCTGGGATTACAGGCCGTGTACAAGAGCATCTGTTTTAACGGATGCACTTGTGGACCCGGGGCTGCCACAGCCTCCATCTGTGAAGAGTGCAGTGTCCGTGGGGGCAGAGCAGGGAAGATCCCCTGGGAAGTCAGGGTCCTTTCTGGGGGTGACGCAGCACAGAGCCCTGCTGGGCCCAGAGGGTGTACGCTGCCCGTGAGCCCTGCTGGGACACTGGTGTCTGCAGATGAAGCTCCATGTGTGGCTCCTTGATCTGGTTCTGACTGGACCTGTGGCACCGTGGCCTGCTCACGTGGCACTGTGGTGGGCACTGCATTGCCGTCTGCAGTGCCACTTGGTGGAGGAGCTTGCTCCACAGGGGCTGCTGGGTACTCAGCCCAGGTGGCTTGGCCTTTGCCGCCCTTGTGCTGACTCGTTTCTGCAGCAGCTGATGCTGGCCACCTGCCAGCCGTCCAAGTGGTCAGCACCCTGTTCTGCCTCTTGCTCCCAGGACATGCTGAAGAACACCCCCCAAGGACACCCTGACAGGCTGCCGCTTCAGATGGCTCTGACAGAGCTCGAAATCTTGGCAGAGAAGTTAAACGAAAGGAAAAGAGATGCCGATCAGCGCTGTGAAATCAAACACATTGCGAAAGCCATCAACGAAAGATATCTGAACAAGGTGGAGAGAGGCTTTCCTAACACTCGCTGGAGTCTCTGCTTCCTACTAATAAGCCAGTGTTGTTTGAGCCACTGCTCCCTGACCACTTAGTGTGCCCTTGCCCCAAGGCTCTAACAAGGCTGCAAGGCACTTTGGGCAGTGGGTAGAATCGGAGGGCTGTGTGGGACCTCAGCAGTCAGGCTGTGCGGTCCTTAGACTCCTTGGAGATTAAGAAAAACTCTTGTTCAAGTACTAGGGGTCGAATCCAGGACCTTTGCATTGAACTACATCCCCAGCCCTTTTTATTTTTATTTGTTTTATTTTGAGATAGTCTTTCAAAGTTGCCCAGGCTGGACTTAAACTTTCAGTCCTCCTGTCTCAGCTTCCCAGAGTGCTGGGATTACAGGCCGTGTACAAGAGCATCTGTTTTAGTGGAACTTCTTCAGCCTACTGTGTTTGGCTTGGAAGTAATTTAGAGCCTCTTCTGTGGTTCTCACCTGTCCGCATGTGAGCTGCAGGGAGGAGTTCACAGGCTGCCAGGCTGTGTTGGCCCTGATGGCAGAGCCCAGCAGTCATATGGTGGCAGAGGGTGCTGGGTTTCCTGTTGGCCCCACAGTCAGACACGACTGTACACTGCATCTTCCCCGAGGACTCAGAGTTCTGCTGGGCTCAGGGAACAGAGAGGGATAGACGAGACCAGAGGGTTTGAGGTGCTTCCTACATGCCAAAGGTGTGGAGTAAGGTGGCGGGAGGTGAGGCAAGCCAGTGCTGGCTCTGGGATCCAGCCTGGTAGGAATTAGATCCTTTCACTGGTCAGGATGACTGTGAGCACCGACATCTGTAAAACATTTAGTTTGAACAAGTCACAGCTTAGCTGGTAATTTCAGCACTCAGGGGGCTGAGGCAGGAGGATCGCTGTGCGTTCACGGCCAGCCTAGGCTATATACATAGTGAGACTGTCTCAAAAAAAAAAAAAAAAA